TTGGAATTATTCAATACATTTGTGGTGAATTGGAATGACAACACACTGGTGGTGAGTTGGAATTATGCCACACACTTGTGGTGAGTTCGAATTGCACAACACATTGGGGGTGAGTTGGAATTATACAATACATTTGTGGTAAGTTGGAATTATACAATACACTGGTGGGTAGTTGGAATTATACAATACACTGGTGGGTAGTTGGAATTATACAATACACTGGTGGTGAGTTGGAATTATACAATACACTGCTGGTGAGTTGGCATTATACAATACCCTGGTGGTGAGTTGGCATTATACAATACCCTGGTGGTGAGTTGGCATTATACAATACCCTGGTGGTGAGTTGACATTATACAATACCCTGGTGGTGAGTTGGCATTATACAATACACTGATGGTGAGTTGGCATTATACTCTACATTTGTGGTGAGTTGGAATTATACAATACACTGTTGGTGAGTTGGAATTATAAAATACACTGGAGGTGAGTTGGCATTATACAATACATTTGTAGTGAGTTGGAATGACATAACACTGCTGGTGAGTTGGAATGACAACACACTGGTGGTGAGTTGGAATGACACATCACACCGGTGGTGAGTTGGTCTGTCACGGTCGCCTAACTGTGGTGTACAAAATTGGAAACGGGGCTTCATGTGATGTTAATGTACTTAAATACAGAACTTGTGCAGAAGTGTTTGAATAGTGTTTAAATGCCAATAAACCTATCAACTTTATTTCAGAGAACCCTGATATGCATTATTATTTCTCTATGAAAAGGAACTCCGTGGTAACATTAGGGTGCACTGTAGGTCACGTCCCATCATGTCAAGAGACGCCGGACCATTGATGATGGCTGAACAGGTGGTCCACATCATCGATGATGTAAGTACATGTAAATCACGAATAGAAATCAGTAGGTCATTTTTGTACTCATATAAAACTGCATTCTGGGTAATTCATTATACATTTATATTTCTGTTTTTTTGTTTTTACAAAATATTATTTTCTCATAAGTTGCACCTACACTTTGGTCGGGATATTCATTCACACAGGACAACACTTCTTTGGGTATGACTTCATTTTAAAAACCACTGCAGCCTTAACTTATATCTCCGCTGTGAATGGGTATTTTTAAAAAGGCTTCTAATAGCACGTAAATTGTTGGCTCGCTTTATAGAGTATGGTTCTTGTGATCAGTGTACTTGGGGACAGTGCATGGGCCACAGTGCACGTGCTATACCCTGTTTTTAGATAAGACATAAATATGCGTACATGTTATCCTCATAATGTACACACTGCTTCCCAATCACCACAGTTGAAGCCCTACATTTTAGAAATGGATCATTCTCCAAATTCCGGGTCCAAATGTGTGACATTTTTGTGTCCCCTGTTAATACCTTACCTGTGTAATTTGACATGGAAATATCACCGGAAATGATTTCAAAGTACTTCTATTTGTTTGGCAGGTAATTTGCATCAATTCATTACTCTTGAAAATTAGAGAATACATTCTGAATGCGTTCTTTAAAAAATCATATGCTAGATGTAATAGGGACACAAAAAAATTGGACCCCTAATTTGTAGAAGACCCATATATTTATTAACAAGGTTTACTATGCTCAGGAAAACAGGAAAACCTCAGCTGAGATAAGAGCCAATCAGACAATCACAGATTGTCATCTGTTGCAAATGCCTAGCTTGATGTAAGCCAAAATTGAGTATAAGGCAGTTCTGAATGAAAATGGAAATTTGGTCACACTGCTATTGACTTCATTATTTTAGATCTTAAACAAAAGAGGTTTTAAAAAAAAGACTGGAAATAATAAGGGATCTCGTTAACTGTGATTCCACTTTTATGTTTTTGTAAAATGTTCATTTGTTTGTGAATTATAATCAACAATGAGGTCGGTAACACCCTGACCAAATCTCCACTTTTGCGTGGAATTGCCCATGAAACATTTGGTCATCTTTCACTTGGACAGGAAAATTTAGCTGTCAAGTACAATAAACCAGGAACTGGGGCCTCCAACAAAACCTTTGAATTTGAGCGGTAAGTAGACATCTATTTCCTTATTTTGGTGTAGCAGGTCACGGATTATTCAGCAAAGTTTCAACAAAAGACCACATTTTTTACCTGCTTGAGGACATTTTCTATAAAAGAAAACAAACTTTCACACCCAAGTAAAATCGCATTAAGTGTGTGTGTTGGATTTTTAGTGTTTATGGACCACAAGATTGCCAGTCTGAAATCTTTGATGAAGTCCAGCCGTTGCTGACCTCGCTTCTTGATGGGTAAGAGAGCCATCTCCCTTAGTTTTTACGCCATTACTTCAAGAAAAAAGCATTCTTTTTCTGTGGAAATAAACGGTTTACTTGCAGAAAATCATTGGTTAAACAGTGCAGTGAAGTTTATGCATGATTTTTAAGCCACAAGGATGTCACTTTTCTTAGATTAGCTGATCATCTGTATTATACCTCACATGTTCGCCATTAAAAATATTGGAAATCACTTTACAGAGTCTTGTTCTGCTCAGCATTGCCTCATTTTTGTCTGACCTTTTGCCTAGGCTTGTGCATATGATTAGCTCCTGTTTAAATTGGGAATATATGATGGTTGATGTGGCGATGCGCGTTAAAATTGTGACCCTTTTTCCGGCCCAGCTACAACGTTTGCATCATGGCATATGGACAAACAGGTAGTGGTAAGACCTACACCATGCTGGGCGACAAGTACCTGACCTGTGCACAGAGATGGATGATGAACTAGAGATAAGTGCATCGGATGGTGTCATACCAAGAGCTGCGGCGGAGATGTTCAGGTAAAAAGTAGGTGGTGATTTGTGTCAGGTTGTAAGAAAGTGTCAGAGAGCTTCCCTACAAGTTCTAGCAAAATCAGATTTTGTCAGACCAGAGCACACCGTGCTTGCAATTTGAAACTCGTATTGATTATGTGTGGTATGATTGTTCATTACGCTGTTACTGAGACTGTATTTGAGCATTTTACTCGCGTTAATGCGAGTACACACCTGGGTGCATGAAAGGCAGCTGTAAGACTGAGTATGCTCTCGATCGGGCCAGGAGTATTCTTGTTCATCACATGGTTAAAAGAGTCAAAGTTCATGCAATGCGATCTGAAAGAAGTGTGCACGCGCTGCGCAACATTCTCCAGTGGTGTATTTTTTTGCGATCCATAACCAAAACAATAAATGTGACATGAAAGTAGCAACGAAGGACATGTTTAATGGCTGGCTGCATTGAATCCTGCTGCCCGTGTTTACATGGGTGCTTTCCCTGGTAAATGAACCATAGGAGTATGACCCACGTTAATTGGAGGATACTCTTGATAAGGCAAGGAGTGGACTCTTGCATCGCATTGTCATTTCAAGATACGTGTAGCAGAGCGATAACTGCATACCTGCCAACCGTTCCGATTTAATTGGAATTGTCCAGATTTTTAAGTTTACAGACCGCAAAAACCTTGGAACGTTCCGATTTCCAACAAAATAGAAAAAAAAACATAAAAAGTCACGGCAAAAGAAGGCGCTAAATGTACAAGAAAAAGAGGGCGCTATTGGCCTGTTTTTATCGGTCGCCATTTTGTGTAGCGACAGCGCATCGCTTGCATCTTACATGTGACTTCCGAATTCTGTTACGAGCGTGTAGTCGTGATCAGGCATATCAGGTGATGTAACCTTGGTTCAAATAGAGAATTGTTGCAGGAATTAACGAGTTTGTACAGCGATATAGAGAAGGACAAGAAGCCAAAATGCTGCAAAGATTTAGGGACGAATGCAAAGAGCAGAACTTTCCAATTCATAACGACATCACGTAAGGGTGAGTCTTTGCATTCTGCAAGATTGGAGGCAACATATCAGTCATTCCACGGGGATGCAGAGAGGGAACCGTCACAAGCATCAAGTTCCAAAGGGAACTGAGAAGGATGTATTTTTGTTCAAAGAAAAACATTTAATTCAAGGTATGGGAAGAGTTGACGATGACAGGGGAATCCTCCTTCACATTTTTAAGAACTGTTGCCCCCCAAAACTAAGGGAAATGTACCAGGAATTGCCCCAAATTGCACTACAGAGCATCTAGAATCCAACATTTTCTGGGGTCCTTAAGCGGGCCCCAGACCCCACGCCGCAAGGGCTTCGCGCTCACAGATGTGTTCCTATTTTTGACTTTCCAATGTTAGGAGGTAATGTACACAACGATTGATAGTGTTTTCGCTGTGATCTGAGAGTCATGTGCACCTAGTGTAATCTTTCATCTGCGAGTTGGAAAGTAGCACACAGGAATGCACCTGTTAGTCTTGCTCCTTTTTTTTTCTTTCTGCAGGTTGATTGAGGAGAAGCCAGCCAACAGTCACAGTATCGAAGTGTCCGTGGTTGAGATCTACAACAATGATATCCGGGATCTCTTGGAGCCTGATTCAGCCGTGTTCAAACTCAACCTGAGAACTTGCGACGATGGCTCCATGGAAATACCGTCGCTCACGCAGAGGTATAACATGCAAGTCAATTTGGATATGTGACATGTTCAATCCCTCTTCCATATGATATATGAGAGAAATACGCCAGCCCTTCCATTCAAACATGCTTCTTAAATGTGTTAGGGCTGTGGCAAATACCCAAATAATCAAATATCTGACCGAAAAATGGCAGATACCCAGTTCTTCAGGGGATGGTATTACGTGTACGCGATGGAATCTTCCTCTCAATTTCTGACACTGCATTTAAACAACACAGAACACAGCTTTTCCTGGTCACCGGTCTGCAAAAATGAAATGAAATTGTTTTTGCATGCAGAGAATGCATCCCGCAATAACTGTTGGTTATTTCAGTTTTTACCAAGTGTTGTACTGGAGGCAGCTGACCATGGGACATCCACAAGTTGAAGTAGAATTGACTAATGGAATTTGTTACTGTAAGCAGGCCTCCAAGCTTACATAGCATTGTGTCAGTGCTAAAATAAAGACCCTTACTGCGTTAAAAGGTCCTTATTGAATATATTGGTTTAAATACAAATTGGTAGAGAAAATTTGTTAATATTTAAGTTTATTGGCCCCCAAGACTAGGTTAATAAATAAAAGTGAAACAGATGTTGTCTGTTTCAATACTTTATTTCTTGGATGCTCAGAGTAAGGCCCTAAAAGTATTTTCAAAACGTATATTTTTTCTGTAAGGACCTTAGCATTGAGCCAACGATAGGTCATTCCTGTGTATGTTGCTTCTTTGCTGTAAGTTTTAATCCAGAATTTGTTATGCGATTGTTTTAACAGACAAGTGGAGAATGCAGCTGAGATTGTGGAGCTGGTGCAGTACGGAATGCGTCACCGTCACGAGGATGCCACGCTGATCCACGCTCACTCTAGTCGATCCCACCTCGTTGTCACACTTACTGTGTCTACGTTCCCTCAGGGGGCGCCGACCACCACACCAAATGCTTCGAGGAGTGCCTCACCGGTGCCTGAACTGTCTTCTCCAGGTGGGTGTAAATTGGAAACATGTCACAGCTCTTCAAATCATTTTTTTCTCTGTCAATTCCTTATTAACCTTGTCTAATCCATGTGTAAACAAGACAGTTTAGCAGCCTTGCAACCTTGTCCTATTGGGCTGATGCCTCCTGAAACTGCTTGTCTGAATGGAAAGTAGATTAAACACAAGTAATTGTAATTTGAATGGAACAAATATGTAAAAAACGGGTTTCAAAAAAGTGTTTTTCTTAAAGCGTGAAGTGAACAAAGGCGTAATTTTTGTTCACAGGGAGTTTCGCTACCAAGACTGTGAGACGTAACCTGTCCATCCCAGCCATAGCCCTCCAGGCCCTGACCCAGAGTGGCGTCCAGTCACCGGTCCAGATCCAGTCGGCCAGCAACACCCCGGTCTTCTTCCCACCCAGCCTGCCGGGGGTAGTCAAGACTAAACTTCAGCTGGTAGACCTGGCCGGGAGTGAATGCGTGGGTGAGTGCCGAAGCTCAGCGCAGATCCTCAAAGAATCTGCCTGGAGGTTAGGCTTGGCAGGATTTTGCTGGATTTGAGGAAGGCACATGCATACTTGTTCAGTAGTTGTAGGGAATGGATGCCTGGTGTATGAGGTAGTTGTTATAATGGGTCCAAATCATTATTGGGACCCATGTAAGCCGTGACAATCCAGTCCAAAACATCCTTGCAAAAGATTTTTTCCCCTTAACATAGGCTGGCTTGGGCAGCCTATCCACTGTCAAGATCTATCGGGCTTGATTCCCCTTTAAAACAGATAAGGTGTCGTTGGTCTCCTGCATTTTGGAGGATTCAGGAAGGTTCTTAAAATAAGCTTTTACAGGAAATGCCAATTTTTAGGCAGTAACCTGTTTTTAAAAATAAAACTTAAGAACCAGAATAATGGAGGTGATTGGATTTAGAAGTACATAGTTTTGTGAAGACCCTTCCTTGTATCAGTTGAAACACTGCCCTTGCCCAGGTTTGCATCGCAGAACCCACACTGATCCTAGTTCTGTTGTCCAGGGATGTCCGGGGTGACTGGGGCAGCTTTACGGGAGACCTCTCACATCAACCGCAGTCTGTCCGCTCTCTCTGACGTCCTAGCTGCCCTGGCAGAAAGCAGGTCGCACGTTCCTTACAGGAACAGCCGGCTGACGCACTTGTTGCAGGACTCCATAGGTAGGTATCTTCTAGCCGCCCACATCATACTCGCATGCACGGATGTCAGACTTGTGCACACCTGCCAGACATCAGTCAGTGGGGTCTTCTACCCATCAAGTATCCTTTTGTTAGAATTTGAATGTGGACGAGCAGCCAACCTGGTAGCTGGATGGAAGTCACATGGCCTAGGGATGTCAGAAATTTTTTCATAAAACAAGCAGACCCAAGTTTACCTTTTAGTACAGTAACCAGTTGAGGAAAAATGCGCAAGTGGGCTATTATTCATAACGGATTTCTTTTGATTTGTCAGCCTGATGCAAAAACGAGCTGTGAACAAATCTAAGACATAATGTAAATGCGGCTTTAATCCTGCTGGCCAGCCAGTCAGAGATGTTGATTAAAATGTGAGACATAGGTTTTTGCATATGAATGAGAATAATGCAGCTGACTGTCACATTTGATAGACAAGTGCCGATTGGCCAGAGCTACAAGGTCAAAGTTCAACTGTCCTGCCTAATATATCAAACAAGTTTTTATACAGTACATGCCATTGGGATTCTCACCATAGACTTGTGCCTTGCAGTATTAGTACTCTGATATTTCTGGTCGATTGACACACATTCATTTAAATCAAATAATCCGTAATGTGTCGGGTACACTCAATCTAATGTTCGATTTTGACTTGACCCAAGGGAAGTCTGAGCTTAACAAATTGCAAAGTTCTCAGAGTGTCTTAGACTCTTGTTCCACCTGTTCTTTGTGTGCAGGTGGTGATGCCAAGCTGCTGGTCCTTTGCTGCGTGTCGCCAACCCAGGCCTTCGTCACGGAGACCCTACAGTGCCTGGGCTTTGGCACCAGGGCCAGGCAGGTCCAACGAGGACAGACCAAGAAGCGCACTGCCTCCAGCAGCAGCAGCCTACAAAGCAGCAGTAATACAACCCATTTCACGTTGTCCAAGCATTTTATGCAGCAACTTTTTGTAGCACTCGCAAATTTGGGCCGTTGCTTCAACCCTTACCCTACTGCTTACTGTACTTGGGTTGAAGTACAACATACTAAAACTGCTACAAGCGCAGCATGTAAATGGGCTCGGGTACTGAACACTACAGACTACTGCGAGTTAGTATTTTGTAGCTCTGAGGCTGTTAGGGTTGAGCAGCCCTTTCCATGATGATGGTTCTTGTAGCAATATCTCGGCCTCAGGATTTCTTATACGTTTTTGTTCCTGAAATTTTCACTGTAAGTTAAGATATTTGAGAGCTAAAATATTCATTCAGCGATTGTCTACTTGTCTGTTGTTACAGGTCAGGCAGGTGACCTCTCACCCATCGCTGTCACACGGAACAGAGGTCATAGGTCAAGTCTTGCAGTCAGTAAGTATGAGTCAGTTCCCAGCAATTGCTGTTGGAAGCAATTCGTGAAATTCAGCAGTTCATGATTACCATCTCCAGAAAGACCTGTTACCATAGGATTTTTCACTGGAACTGACTGTGAAGTTGACGGAAATTAAGATTTTAGCAAACGTTAAAATGTTTTTGGAAAGATGTAGGATGCCAGAACTTTGCTCTGAAATGAGTGGTTCTCCTTGAAACACAGAAGGGCTCCATGTCAGTGTGCTAACTTCAACTCCTCGGGTGTGTTTCCTAAATTCTCCACAGTGCGGTTGCCCAATGGCGCATTCGGTGTTCTTGTCCTTTCAAGGCAAATTAAAAACAATCAAGCCACAAATTAAAATGGCTTGCCTTTTCCTCAATCCTGAACAATTTTCACACATTTTTGGATATGGAGAGATCTTTGGGCGAAATTAATGGAATTCATTTCTGCTAGGGATGGGCTCAATTAAGCTTCTCAACACAAACTATAAGATAATCAATAAATCAATCAGTTTTCTGTTGCTACAATTCTGGTAAACCTTCTAGAACCACCCAGGCAAATTTGGAGGATCTTAAAGATGAAATAAGCAGAATTCATTCTGCTTGAGAATGGCTTATTCGAGATTCTCCTCGCAGATACATGTAATTGGATAATCACCCAACCAATCAGTTTTCTGTTGTTACAATCCTGATATATATGCCAAAAGTCCAGCTCAAGCTTTCATTCTGCTCAAGATCGACTTATTATTACTGAGGCTTCGCATCACAGATAATTGATAACTCTGTCACCATAGTCCTGTGAAATCTTTAAAAACACCCAGGTAGATTTTGAAGGATGTGGGAGGCCAAAGGTGATCATGGTGGTATTCATTCTGCTTGGGATGGGTTCCTTGGGGCTTTACAGAAGATAATCGGTTTCCCTCCACTAACCCACTCAGTCTTCTGTTGCCAGCCTCTTCGGGTTCCTTACTACCCTTACCTCATCACCTGAAGGAGTCCCACATGCGCCACAGAGGTGAACACATCCCACATGAATATTGCACGGCACTGCACTAGATGAACAGCTTCTCTAACACACACACATTGACACAAACCAGGGCCGAGTTTCACAAGCTGCCGGCTATTAACAGGATAATATTATTGCTTAGCGAGTTACTGTGCTGAGCGAAATTAGCCAAGACTTGGTCACTAGTGGTATACACTGCATGAAGCCTTGGCTGGAATCCTTCTGTTCCTAAGCATGTATTTCCTGTGCTTAGATGCTTTGTGAAATGGGCCCCTAAGTACTTAATACTGTTACCAAGCCACGGCTTCACACTGCTATTTCTATCCAAGCACTACACTTCAGTCTTAATCTTCACACATCTGAAATAAGAGTATTGACCATCAACTGCTTGTGTTGTATCACTAATGACAAAGCCTATTCACTCCCAGAGTATCTGAGGTAGGGCTATGTTTGTATTTGGGAGTTGTTAGTACCTGAAAATCCTCATTGACGAGTATATGAATAGGATATCTTTTTGAAAGAAATCCCTTTAGCCCTGTATTAACCTACGTGAAGTGTGGCGGACACAAAAGGAGGGCGCTATTTGAAGTGCGAAATTGTGAGCAAAACCCAAATGATTTACCCAAATGAAATAGTGCCCTCCTATTGCATCCTTCACACTTGAAAGAGGCTAGTGATAAGCGTGCCAAATATTACGTTTGATTTAACCTGGAATGAAAGACTGAAGTTGCACGGCACTACGAGGGAAAAGAGAGCCAAAAGTTACAGTAGTTTATTTCACTTTAGGCGGCAGGTACTTTTACTGTGATGTTTGGAAAAACTGCTACCTAGACTTCCTTCCAGAGCTTTAGCACTGCAAATTAAAGAATCATTGTTAAGAGTAATCTTCACTGCACCTTAAACTTAGACCCAATCACAAGTACAGTTGGTTCTGCACATTAGCTACAAAGCACCGTGGGAAGGTATAAAAGAAAGGCAATATCTGTAGTCAGAACCCTGCTGACTTGGTAGATTTTCGGCCTTAAACTGGCAATTGCTTTTAGTGTGACTAATGATGTAGGTGCCACTCATTTTAATAGACAAATCCAGCGACTTTTGTCACAAGACGTTCATGATGGCCCCCGTCCATGGTGGAGAGTGCTGCCTTAGGTTTTATTTGGGACATCTGTGGCATGTTTGTTAAGTTCAGTAGTTATCACAGTGCCCTTTGTCATTGGTGGGGGCCACTTGGAATGTCTAGTGATAGTGTAACCGTGGTCATTGGATTTTTTTTCTGTAACCACATGTGCACCAGTGGGCATTGCATTCGGTAAGGAGTGGTCCTCATCTCATGTGGACCCACGTGCTCAAATATGGTGCCTTGTGGTGACCAGTGGAGAGCCAGGTTGAAAGGGTATTCACAAGGAAATCCTAAAGATGACCAGGTCTCCACAACGATTTCACAAAATTAACACTTTGGAAATAATTCACAAAAGAGACATTTATGTATGGCAAGTAGAATCACCAGTGTGCACAATAACCAACGCTGTCTTGGAAAGTCTTCGTGCTTTGTGTTGCTGGGACAGATATTCAGTAATTATGTTTTCTTCCTTGCGTTAGAAAGGGCAAACTGTACCCTTGGTTTTGAGGTGTCGATCGACATGCTAATGAAATAGACATTTATTCACTCTGTACACGATTCTGTTGAATGGTCTCGGCACAACAGTGGCTCTGCCTGCAACGGACTTTACTTTGTTCGGTTGGGACTCGCATATCAAATCTAACAGTATTTCAAATCTTTCAAAACTAATAGCACGTATGCCTTTCACGTTCGCATAAAACTGTTGGGCCATTCTTTCGATCACACGGGCACGATTTATATGACTTTCCACGTGGTAAGTAACAAGTCCGTCATGAGGTTTTTGGTCTCATTTTTATCTGTGACGCAGGAAGTGTACCAAACTTGGAGTCTCACCTCGCCCAGTTCAACGCGGGTCGTCGCTCACCGCGATCACTCAGACCGGCCATCAGCAGAAGCGATAGCTCGCATAAGTGAATTCCTCACACAACGTAGGAATATGAGTCAACAGGGACTCAGGGGGGTCGAGCAAGTATCAGTCTTTGTCTCATAACAGCACTTTGAGCCACCTGCCATAGACAGTAAACACTTAGAATAAACATTGTTTTTTCTTGTTAATGTTATTCTTCAATCTTAGATCGATAGATGCAGAAACGCCCAGTAATAAAATCCCTTCATTTAACTCGACAATTTGCCCTACGTAGATGAAGGTCCAAGATCCAGAGCCCAAATTATTTATTTACAAATTTTATGTGTATAACTTTCTTCATATCCGTCCTTACAATGTTTTCAAAACACTAATTTGTACTAAGCAGTTTTCAACGAAATATTTAAAAATGTATCATGAGCAATGTGTATATTCTGTATCTAATCAACTTATACGTAGAATGGTTATAATGTGAAATTGCATACATGCTCCTCACTTTGCTATTACCACGTTTGACCTAGTAGTGTTTTTCACCGACTATAAACTTGTAAGATATTTCGAGATACTTGAATATATTTTCACTTCTTTGCAGACATGTATTGAAATAAACGATAGTTTCACAAAATACTGTTTCAAAAATACATATACTGATGGTGTCTGTGGTTATTACTTTCGATATTCAGGCGTGTCAAGGTAGACCCCAATTTATAGCTTTAACATTCATCATGTCTTGTTTCAGTTGCGTTTATCAATACCGCCTGCCTCTTATTCGGTCAAAGATGTCTTTGAAGCGGACGCAGGTCCAGCTTCATGACAAATTGGGGTTATGATGAGATCTCCTTAAGTACGATCCTTTGCCACACTTGGCAGTCCCACTGGGACCTTCTCCGGTGAGGGTAGCCCTGTCCGTGAAAGCTACTCCAGTGTACCCAATATACATGTACATGTATATGCTTTGTTGTGTGGGCTTTATTGAAATGCACTGTCATAAAAAGAAAATCATTAATGTATGCTTATACATGTACGGTACCAGACTGAGTTTAAGTGAACAATTTCCAGAAGACGTTTATCTTAGGAAATACACCTCAAAACAACTTGTCTTATTTCAACATGGTTCACCACAGATCATGACTGCAATTATTTCAGCGGCAATTACTCCACTTTGGGTATGATTTGGGCATATTTCATCTTGGATTCTTGGCCAAGTGAGGGTAATTTATCGTCTTTTCCCAAGAGCCAGTGCTTATTGAGGTCTGGCGTGTAGCGGGAGGCCGGCGGCTTGCGGCCCAGACTCTCGGCCAGGCTTCGGGTGAGGTGAGCCGAGTTGCCGCAACACAGACCCACGTACTTGATGCCCAGTTCCTGGACTCGCTTACCAAAGTCGTGGATGTCCTTACGGTTACACTGGATACAGTCCAGATTCACAGGGAACAATGGCTCACCTATACAACAAATTTCGACACTTAAAACCATGTCTGGAAATCTACGGAAATATAAAGGACTTCAAGCATCATGCTGAAAAAGACGAACAGAGACCTGCTTGAAAACATTGTCAGAAATCGATGTAGTGGATTCATGTATTTACATCATTGCGAGCGCCCATTAGATCAATTTCATCTCTAAACCACGTGGTGTAGGCCTAATACTATTTCGCGTATAATGAGAACTCAAAATGATGATGTCAAGAGAAAACTGAAAAGCTTTAAAATACCTGAAATAGGGTCAATAGAAGAAATGAAATTGGGGTGTTCCTTGGTGGTTCGGTAAGTCACTGGTACTGCAGCAATAGGCACCTGTGTTAGTGAAGGAAAAATTGAAAATAAGATCTAACAAAATGTGCATAATAAATATCTGCGCCTCGCGCCCCATGCAAGTTTCTGTCCAGGAAATGCCGCCCTCACACTCGTGTGGAAAGGCCAGGTAAAGACCTCAATGTATGTCTAATTTAAACTTCTTTAAAATGAAAATAAAAAAGAACAAGGAATCAGGAATTTTTAATCTACGACCAAACACTAGTTTTCTTCCCAATATCTTCCAACTGTTGTTTAATTCAGCTGGGACAAGTGTGATAAAAATTAAGGAAAATATTGAAGTTGATACTCTGAATTTTTCATGCGACAGGAAAGTCCCTCAAAGTTTTTGGCCACGAAAGACGTTTCGGAATTTTCGTTTTCTGCTTAGGGAATTGGGAGGTGATCGAGTTTTGCAGGAAATGCAACTTGGTCTTAGAAAGCTATAAGGGTCAAAATCAGGCGCAGAATTGCGGGGAGGAGACTGGGGTCAACCCCCTTTGATTTCAAATTATTTCTCATCAGCAGCATTTGTCTACAAGTTCAAAAGCTCTCCAAAATCATAAATCCTGCGTTGTTATTACTGACTGAGGACAAAACAAATGGATTAACTAGCTTCAACAAAGGACACAAATACAGCCTCCCCCCCCCCAAAAAAAAATATTCCCCAAGCAAAAATATCCTGGTTTAGCCACTGCTGATTCCAACAGATGTCGTAGTCATAACTCACCTTGCAAACTTTGACAGCTTTCTCCAGAATGGGCAGCATGGTGGCCGGTCCCCGTGTGCAGTTCAACCCCACCACGTCAGCCCCAGCGTCCGCTAGTCGGTTGAACGCCTCGTTGTACTTCACGCCGTCCATAGTCGCTGGCTTTCCGTCCACCAGACCCTGGTGACTGGTCAGCGTTACAACGCAGGGTATATCTGCGTGGTGCGATCATATTGATCATAATTTACATCATCATGATACATCATCATGATAAGGAGTGCAAAGGCTAAAGCCTTTATTTAGCTGTACAACTACATGTACCTGGAACTCGGAAGTCCCTATTTCACAAATTCCCAACGAGAGCATGAAACTCTTTTCCTAGGTAATGTACGAGATATGACAGAAGAGTATTATACTGCCACACATCTACCAATATTTTCACTACTAGTTTCTGGTACATGATAGTTTCAAGTACATACGAGATATGAGAAACTATCACGGACGGACGTGAATTTTTTTTCTATGTGCTCGGTATTTTGTTTCCGTAATATGCGGCCTCCACATGACAGTGATCAACTAAAAACACCAGAAAACGTTACACACATATTTCAACGCACCCTTTGCGAACTCCTTGCATGCCTGGGTGGCTAGTAACGCCTCACCAAAGTTATCGAAGGTTTCAGCTACAACGTAGTCGGCACCTGCCTCGACAATCCACTCCAGTTGTTCCTGAGAATGGACAGATCGCCAGTGGTTTCTTCAGTGCAGCAGTAATCGGTATAAGGACCTATTTACACGGACAAGTCTTGAACAGAACTCCGCGCAATAAATATCGGGAATAATGATTCCTATGAAAATGTTCTGAGGGCTGAGACTAAAGATGAAAATGAAGTATTCGTGAAATAATCGGCAGAAGTTTGAAGGTCCCCTCGAATTAGGGGAAGGGTGGTAGGGTGGGATCTATGGTAAATATCTGGTTTTGCCGCGAAATACGAATTTATCAACTTTTCTTAGAAATTAAACCACTTTAATGGTAAATTTGGGAATTTCCACGTTTCAATAGAGACTGTTTGAAAAATCTTAGAATTGAACAAAATCCTCACGCAAAAATCCTGAAATTAGCATTATAGGCTAATCTGACAAATCTCATCCCTGAATGTTTGCTCCTAGAGCAGGAAAACGGCCCAACAGCAATTCTTCAGAAATATTGCGCTGCCACAGCGTGTTGTGGCCAATCAATTAAGGACTGGCCATAGAGCTGTGTTAAATTATATATATGTACAGTTCGATGGGATTCAGAGGCATGATGGAGCGCTTCGTCGTTACATGTATGTCTTCGATTCCTCCCTTGGGTGTGCTCTCGATCTACAGTGGGGAGTCGGTAATTTCCACGCCGAATGCAGGGGTTTTCAAGTTGGTGTAAAGGGTCCGTGTACGCTTCGTTCATCCTTTTTTTCGACTTGAAAATGAAACTTAAACAAACAATAAGCCAAATCGTTTTCCTTTTTTATTTGCAAACAGAAAACGAAAATTAAAAAACACTCGTTTCTCGTTTTTCAATGAGAAAAAGAAAACCAAAGAAAAAGACGAAGATGTTGTTTCTTGTTTTTCATGTTGAAAATAAAAAACAAAAAACAAAAGTGATATTGTTTGAAATGTTTGTTTGACTGCACACGTAATTTCGAGGACTGAGGCGTCACAGACGTCTCTGAGCACTTCTCAAGATGAAATTTGCCTTTGAAAAAGATAGAAATTTCCTTGTGGGCTGCTCCTCCTTCTTTTACTTCAGAAGCAAGGAATTCCTTGTATTCCTCTAGTTCAGCCATGTTTGATTTGGTGGGTTACGGAGACGTTTCTTACATTACAAAATGACTATTTTTCATTTTCCAAAAATGGATCAATAAATTACTATGTTATTCGTTGTCACATTGAAAAAGAAAACAGAACGTGACTGTCATTTTTAGTTTTTAAGAATGAAAACCAGAAACAACCTGTTTTTGTTTCATTTCTTAACTCGAAAAACG